TGTTCGCTGTATCCTCCTCTGCTCCTCTGATCATGGCCCTGCATAAGGCCGGTGGATACTTCTGAGCTAGCTTGGCAATACCGCCCATAAGCGGTTGGTGCACGTGATCTCCTCTGCACCGAGAGCTCAACCTTCTCGCCAGCCCGACTCCATTCACCATGAAATCGGTTGGCTTCTTGTTGAAGTGACCCTTAACTGCCAAACCATACCTGCACTGATCAGCGCGCACTCGTTGGACTCCTGGAAGCTGGAGCGTCTGGAGTACCTCTTTCTCCTCCCAGGCGCCTGACGTAGCTGGATGCTCAAACACTGCCAGTTTGCCTCGGCGGTGTTGCCATTGATACACCTTCATGCCAAAGGACAAATGTTCTCTGCCCTCTGCCAGCTTCAGCTTCAAAATGTGCCTGCCGTGTTTTGCTGCATTGATGTTCTGAAGTATGGAGAAGGGTCCACAGGGGGGACAGATGACAATGAGATCTGGATCGTTTCGCATGAGCTCTCGCATTGCCCTTCTGCGATCTTGAGGTTTCTTCAAGTCATATCCTGTCTCCAAGTCAAAGGAGCCCCCATCAATGTGGCCACATTGGGTCGCCTCCTTGCTGACCCGAGGTGGCGAAAACACCTCGGCTACAACCAAGCGCTTCATACTGTTCTTCAAGCCCTTTCTAGTGCTCTTGGACAGTGTTCCTCCTGAACTGTCCTCATAGTAGAGCTCTTGCCAAAAGCCTTTCTCCTCAAAAATCCTTATTGCCTGATGGTGGACCTGTGAATCAAAACTGGGCAAAATGCCTGTGTGAAACTGCCAGCTGCCGGCTGGATGAGATTGCAACCAGTATCCCTGTGATACCTGCTGCTCATAGATGGGGCGGTCTTCCTCCTCTAATTGCTTCTTCGCCCACAAGTTCCATTGGCTCTCAGAAGCTAGCCAACAGGCCCGAGGGGCATTCTCCTGTACCCACCTCATCATATGCTCGTGGGTCACTCCTCCGGTCTTGCTCACATACTGCTGCTGGCTCCTGGATCGTTCTGGGCGGCCGCCAGCTCCTCCTCCATCATCTTCTTTCTGAGCTGCACTGCTCGTAACATGGTCTCTTGCTGCAGCATGGGATTGTTGTATACTTCTCCCATCCTCTCTTCGCCCGCAATGGCGGAGAGCCAGAACATCTGGTTCTTCATGTATTCCATCTCCTGTTGATGTCGGCTTCTCTCCTCCTGCATCAGACTCAGATGTCTCTCCTCCGCTGCAGCCATGGTCTGCTGGACCATCATCTCTCTCTCTCTCTGCTCGCGCCTCCATCTCTGCTTGGCGCATCTCCTCGTCCTCTTTCTCCTGAAGTGCCTTCCTCTGCAGATGCTTCACCTCCTCTTGATCCCATTCGAAAAATTGGCACAGTCTCTCCGTGCACTTCCAAAACAACCTGCCCTGAGTGGGGCCCTCCTTCTTCACAATGAGCTGGGTCGCTGTCTTGTTGCAGTGACACTTTGGGGCCCTGATTGTCTCCTCCGACTGCTGGTTCTTCACTGGAGTGCCCTGCAGAGAGCTTATCACTGAGGCAGGGGTTCTCAGCATCTGATCGGGACTCTTGGGAGTCGCCTTGGCGCTCGGACGGTGCACAGTTCCACTCTTCGGCACTGGTACCTTGGATGGGAACTGAAAGGTCTTGCCGTTGAAGTGAATCACCGGTGTCTTCTCCTTGATATCCTCCATCACCAGTACATCCACCAACCATCTCTGATGGCAATCCGAGCACCAAATCTCCTTCTGATTTTGATTCCCAGCGCCATTGAGTGCTGCCGCTGGGTGTGAACATTCCCAGGTGCGAACCCTCGGAGGGTTTCGACACTTCCTCATGCCGATCAGGGTGCCGACTGAGAATCAGCTCTGCATATAGCTCTTCCTTCATGTAGCTCTCCCTGGACTGACATCCTTGTTGGAAGAAATGTACCAAGTGCTGGGATGCCTGTGCTTGAGGCAATGAAGACTGTGAGCCAGGCATGGATCCAACGCCTTGCCATGCGCTGAGCTTTGCCTGGGCTTTGGCAAAGTCCATGAGATCGGCCATCTTTTCCATGGTGACACGCCAATTTCGAATGGCGCGCTCCGACTTCCTTGCATGGTCGGCCTGCCTTGGCCGAGATGGTGCAGCTTCTTCGCTCTGCATCTTCATCATCTTGGACAAAAGCTGCATGTCTGGAAGTGGATCCCGACTTCAACGAGCTCTCTGCGTGACTCATGCAGGCTGCTGAACTGAAAACGGCTGTGGACCAAAATCTGAAATCTTTGTGACGTCCGGGCACTGTGTCCGGACACTGCCAACCTCCTGGTGCAAAATGTAAAATGTTGACTCCTACATGCCCAGTGTCCATGTTGATCAAATCGCAACTCTTGCCAAAACGCCTAAGCTCAAGATTCTGATTGACCAAATCTACAACTGCCGCAACTTCTTTGAGAAACTTGATGGATAGAAGCAGTGGTACCTTGTCCTCAACTACGGTGACTTCTATGACTCCATTGACTCCTGCAACTCCTATGGGGAGTTCTGCAACTCCACACACTGATGCCTCTCCACCTATGCCTCTAGCCTGTGCTTTCTTATCCATCCACTTGATTCGCAGCCCCTGGGTTCCAAGCGCCTTCTCCAGCTCTCGCAGGCGCTCTTTGCCCACCAAACCGCCCTGCGCGGCAGTGTCAACAATGCCCACTTCGCATGCTTTTGGAGTTGCTGCTGATGGTGTAATGCTCTGACTACTCTCTCTCAGACATTGTCCCAAGGTCACTTGAAAGTGGGTGCCCTCTGACTCATTCACTTCAAAGAAGCCTGACTTCACTGCGGTGCTCTCTGCACCCGCGCTCCTTTTTCCTCGAGAGTCAGGCTCATTGACGCACTCTCGCGCCCAGTGGCCGATCTGGCCGCATCGTGCGCACTTTGTGCGCAGCTTCAACAAGTCCACATGGACTTTGGTGCCGCCACCTTTTCCACCAAAACGTATGGAGCCAGTGAGCTTGCCCTTGCCACCCTTGAAGCTTCCAGAGGCTGACGCAGACGCTTGCGTCGGCTTGTGAGGAAAGTATCCCCTCGCCGTCTTCTGTTCCTTGATGGCCTTCCTCACCTGCTGGTATGTGGCCAAAGCTTCCTGGATCTCATTCTCCTCATACACCTGCTGCAGGTCTCCATCTCCCAGATACACAAACTCTTCACTGTCATCCTCCTCATCTTCAGGTGTCACCTCCTCCTCCATCTCATAGGTGGCGTAATGCCTGCCGCTCTTTTCTCGCTGCACCTTGTCAAGCTTTCGAAAGGCTCTGATCACCTCTCCTCGCTCAAAGGCACCCTTCGTCCACGTAGTGACTTGGTCCTCTTGGGCCTGACTCAAATTGCCCTGTCTGAACATGACATAGCCTTTGACCTGGTCTGACAACTTCACTCCTTCCTCTGCCAGGCCCCTAAAGGCTGCGTCCTGGCGGAGGATGAACTCACTGAAGCCCTCCTTAGCCTTTCTAGGCTCACCGTACACTGCCTTCTCGAATGCCTTCGGCATCGAAGTCTCCAGGTGCGGCTGGAAGTATTCCTTCAGCTTGGCTATGATCAAATCAGCGCCTTGCTCGCTGAGCAATTGGTCGATCTCTATCTCTTCACAGACGTCTTTGGCCGGCCCTGTCAGCCCCCTCAGCATCTTCGCGCCATGCTTTCTGGAAGGCACGTCCGTCTCATGCCTCCAAATCCTCAAGTCCCTCAAATAGGACTTGAATCCTTCTACTTCGCCGTCAAAACTCGGGGGTGGATCTTTGTCTCTCCACTGGCCACCCCCACTTGCTGCCTCTGGCTCACCGTTTGCCGCCGCTTCGTCCATCTCAGGACTCCGCTGCCACTGTGAAATCACAGCAGTAGCAGCACTGAACGCTGCTTGTTTTGACCTGAGCGCCCCTCGAGCCAGATGGCTCTGTCGTTAATCATACCTGACAGCCAGTGCAATGGAGTTTGTCCTCAGTGCACGTTTGAACGTTCCTGGCACGACATGTTGGAAGCAAGTGACCTACGTTTCACACCTTAGTTTCTTTCATTTGAAATTCTCAGAAATGCCCAATTTCCCAAAATATATGATGCCTTATTAAAACCCAATTAAAAAACATCACTCAAACAATTTTTCAAGGGGGTAGTGCATGAGCAACCCTGATACACAATAGTATGGTTTGTTTGGGGGGTACACTATTGTGTCCAGCTGCTTCCTGAGGAGATTTTTGGCACTGACTCAAACAATCTTGAGATTAATTATCTCAGAATGAAGGTGAAAAGCACTGAGCTTTGCTCAGTGCAAAGCTGCAAATCACTCAGTCTGAGTAGAGTTTCAGGCAGTTGCAGCTGATGTTGATGAGTCAATTGAAAGTAAAATGAAATCAATTGAAAGTAAATTGAAATCAATTGAAAGTAAAATGAAATCAATTCAAAGTAAATTGAAATCATTTAAAAGTAACTTGAAATCAATTGAAAGTACTGTAAATTGAAATCAATTCAAAGTAAATTGAAATCAATTGAAAGTAAATTGAAATCAATTGAAAGGAAATTGGAATCAATTGAAATCTATCAATTGTTTTTGATTCCACACTATTGTGTACCCGGTCCCTTGTTTTTTCCACACTATTGTGTATCCTAAATTTGTTTGGGGGGACACCCCCACACTAATCAGTAACCTACATTATGGAAAGTTATAGATCATTGATAATATATAATTATATATAATTATAGATCATTATACATCTGGGCAAATTACAATAATTCACACACCTGAAATAAGGCCATTTTGGGATGATTCCCCTTATTAACCATGATTCCAGTGAGGTCGCAGTGAGGTCGTTATAATTCACCCAGATATAATTCACCCAGATACATCAATTTAGATCATTTTAGATCATTTTAGATCATTGGTATCGGACATCACCGAACAAAACGGTGTCCGAGCCACAGCAGGATCACCCCCCGAAAGCAACAGGCCAGCCAGACTTGCCGAAGGCCACCAGCCATTTTCCATCCACCAACTGCCCCTGTTCGTTGGCAGAAGCCCCTTGGGCCCCTTGAGGCCTGGGCGGATGTCAACCCAGAAGCTGGCCTTTGAAGGGGTGAAGGGGTGGTAAGAGGCCCCCAAAAAGAAGCGGTTCAGTTTCAGGGAGCCCCCCTAGCATTCAACAACTCAAAGAACCCAGAGGGTTCTTAGATCCATATGGTTGCTGCTTGAATCCCCGTTTCTGTTCGCCAGTATCCCGATGTTTGATCATTTTTGCTGATTCGACTATCCGCATCCGCCCATGCTTGCTGGTTGAACATCTTTAACCCCGCGTTGTTCACTGCACTTCAATGTTGCCAGAATTAGCTAAGGGGTTTGATAACTGGAATGTATTGGGATATATACACCAGTTACCCCCAATTAATTACAAAGTACTTGGGATGGGTCAAAATTGGGTACACCAAACAACATATTCTATAAAAAATATGATTAAGACTAAAAAAAATACTGAAAACAAAAATAGACAATCATTCGGTATTTATTTTCACTAAACAATATTGCCATCTATCAAAATTGGGTACCAAAAATCGCAATCCCTTGGGCCCTTGGGCCTTAAATTTTCACCGGTGCCCACGGGCGACTTGCTTGACGCAGGAGCGCCCTTGGACCAACTGCCACCATACCTACCGGAAGAGACCAGAACTGGGTTGTTTACGATAATGTGGCAATGAACATATATAAACATAATAAACATGTTATTGTTATATGTTTATTGTTATAATGAACAATATGCCACATTAGATAATGAACAATAACAAAATAATATATAAACATCATAACAAACATTAGCAGCTTAGCAATCACAACAACAAATCCACAGAGTTGTTTCACGCCTGTGAACATCATCCTGTGAACATCGCAAATGTTCAATGGGTTCCCGCCTGGGTCTGCCTTTGTCAGCAGAGGCGGGAAGTTTGACGCCTGGCAGAACTGTGGATGACCTATCTGCCAAGGGCAAAGTTTCACGGTGGACAGCACAAAGCGCATCTATAGCAACCGTCAAAAAGACGATATAAATCCAAATCATGGTAACATGAGTGGCAAATCATGTTTCTATCTATTTGATTTCTATTTGGAGGTTGCCATACAACTTTAGGATTATGTATATCGGCCACGTTTTTCTTTTTTTATCCGTATGGAAAAGGTATGGAAAAGCTTAGGAGCAAAACGTCCCGCGCATCTGCCTTTTTGCTGGTGATGTATGCTTCTCTACGTATAGCCATTGCTATAGACATACACATTTACACATATGTACTTATATACATATGTATATGAACTGTATATGTGTATATTACATATACATATATACATATATTCTGTAACTATATATGTATATATATATACGTAATTATGCATGTGTATTTTTTTCAAATAGATTTAAATGTAGAATTAGACATTTCTACAAGCAATTGTTCACATCACATGTCCAACAACATCCAACATCCAAGATCCTGAAGTCAGAGCTTCACATGCTTCGGATGGGCCTTGAAGATGTTCTCCCAGGGCTCGGAAGTTGGGGTTCATGGTTTCCCCAGCCTGGATGTGCCAGGCCACATATGTAAGGGTCGTGGGAAAATTCATCTATCGATGTGCTGTAAATCGTCAGAAATAGATGAAATTTTCATGATTCTCCCATTTAGCCTCTAGTAATTGACATAGCGAACTGGAAAATCACCATCTTTATTTAGGAAAATTATCTATAAATGGGCCGTTTTCCATGGCTGAGCATCCTGCTTCCAGGTCTTTTGCATATTTCGTCTTCACCCAGCTGCAGTACCTGCATTCTTTCGTAGCGTGGGGTTTCCCTGGACGAATCAGAAATCCCAGAAACTCAAAGCCATTTTTTGTAAGAAGCATGGTGAGTTAGCTTTGATTCCAAGTCAACCAAGGGCGCCAAGGGTAAGGAGTTTACGGAGTTTACTTCTAATTTAGAATTCTTTGAATTTGGTAAAACTGCCATTTTACCAACGACAGTCGGGCATTCATCTATAAATGTAGCCATGAGTCTAATTCGAATGATTCAGTCTAGTAGCCATCATTTCTGTTTCAGATGGCGTTGTCTGCCTATTATTAAACCATGGTAGACCAATCTAATCAATCTAATTTGTAGGAACCCCGTGAAAATGTTTGGTTTATAGGAATGATTCCCATTATGGGTTCATAGTGCTTCTTATATAAATTATATATATATATACTAGGTACTAAAACCCCTACAATAGTCTACCAATTGAATCCAATTGGTATTTTGGTCACTGCTCATCTACTCTCCGATACTTGCATGGTACGCTGGGAAACAATTGATCAATTCGCATTTAAATCAAATTTGGAAAAATATGGAAAAATCATAAATGTATACCATTTGTAACTAGTTAATTTTCCCACTAAAACCCTTTTTTATTATCATTTATTGGCCATTTTCCGGCACGCCATGATTACCCA